CCCCAAAACCCCAAAACCCCAAAACCCCTAATGACAAGATAAATTATTAAAAAGGTGAAGTAGTAATCAATTTAAATTATTAATAAATTTTAGTGCAGCCTCAACAATCATTTTGAGGTTAGCACCTTTAGGCAAAGGCTTTGGCCACTAAACTTAGCAATTTTTAACATTTGATGTTCCAAATTGAAAAGCTAGGATAACTTGATGCCTATCCAAATGTCAAATAAAAATGATTGCCTCTAATAAAAGATCAAAGAATAAGAACTGAATTGGTAAATTGAAGAGAGCAAAATCTTCAATGAATCGAAATAGGCGATTGGTGAAATTAAGAGCATCTATAGTATAGATGTCTTCTGGTAATTGGGTAGCATATCTTTACTAATTTTTATAACAGACTTGTCTCCTACAATTGCGATTATTCAAATCTAAGGATTAGTAAACCAAGTGTAGAGATAAGTGCTTTAAATTAGCAGAAAATTAAGGTGAATTAAAGATGCATGAATTTAATTTCCAACGACTTCAGCATAGACCAATGCGAAACTAGAGTTGGATTTAGGATACTAGTATTTTAGAAAATTTGATGAGACAATGTTGGAATAATATTGGACTGAACGATTAAATATTATATACCAGGATCGCTCCTTAATCCTTCAGAATGCATTTCAAATTAAAACAGGTACAAATATTTTAGAGAACCCCATATTTTATTAAAAGACAATGCTGATTAGAGAGATTATTAATGTGATAATAAAACTACATTCCTTAAATTGAGATTTAATCATTGGTAAAAAAAGAAAAGTAACTAATTAAACTGATTACTGGGTCTAATTCATGAGATTCTACTAAAATGGTAGTCCTAATTTAATAAGAAAATTATGGAAAACATTATCATATTCTGAAAACGAATGATTTACTCAGCTTAAAAAACTAAGGTAAAGTTTCAACCTTTCATATTAGTGATGGTCTATTACTTTTACATTAATAATTTTTATCTTAATAATCATTTTTAGATAGCAAACGATACTTTTTTTAAGAGTTTAAAGATAAATGCAAAGGTAAAACATTCTATCATATGATTCAAGAAGTAGTCAAAACTTAATTCCCACAATCCCACCAATGAAAATTTTTCAATAAATGGTATTTATAAATACTGAGACTTTAATTCGCAACGGAGACATAGTTCTTTCTACTGTGCCGAGAAATAATCAAAGTTTTTTTCAACAATAATTTCTAATGAATGGATAAGATATGGGTTGTCTTCTGAATTTCTTAAAAACTGATAAGACTATCGATGAACAAAAAGGTATTACTTCATGTCCAGAGTCTCACAAAGTGACTTAATTGAATACAGAGTCTTCGTTGATTTAAGAAAATTCAGCTTTATCTGAAAATCAAGTTTCGCCCATGAATCAAAATGATTAACTCAATTCTATGAGTTCCTAAAATCTTCAATCTTAGATTGAGATTACATTAAGCTGCTGCAACTGTTTAAAAACAAAATGCATAAGTGGGTATTGCGTATGCTTCAATAATGGCACTAAGATGTGTACAAGTTGTTCAAATCCCTAATGTTTTAATAATGAAGATCACAGAGAAGAAAGAGATTCTCAGATCCAAAGTTAGAGAAAAAAAAATTAATATGCATATACTTAAAAAAACATTGCAAGAGAAAATTTAAAACGTAAATCTAGAAAGATTGAGAACCTTCTAACTTGTAATTGCAAAACTTCTAAGAGATGTGAAAATAATCATTGTAAATGCCGATAGAAAGGTTAGAGATGTAATGTAAAATGCAAATGCAACCATAAATATTGCTAAAATAACTAGAGTGCAAACTCAAGATAAACTAATGAAAAAGAATAATATTCACATTAATCTGACTCATCTTACTGTGAGTGAGTTACCAACAGCATTATTATAAAAATGAGGAAATACTCTTAGAGCTCATCCTATTTTAAGATTTTAAGTCATTCAACAATCGCTAATATTTTCATTCAATTTAAAACAATTACCATCTACATTATAACTAATCAAACCTGTCTTTTGGGGTTTTGGGGTTTTGGGGTTTTGGGG